AGTCTTCCAATCTGTCACTTACCTTTGCAATAGGATTTGCCTTAGTTTTTATCTTTATGTTAACTTTAATTTCCTTGCTTAGTCATGGCTGTTGTTTCTCCCATCTTACAATTTTTCATCCTCTTTGGAATGTAATTTAGTTGGAAGAAATTGAGTATTTCCAAAACACATGCCGCTGCTTATCAGCTGTCCTAATTTTTAGTCATCCTGCCTTTGTTTAATCCAAACCTCTTGTGTGTGATTCCAGTTCTCACACTCAAACTGAAATTGAAATTCTAGCATGCTAAGACCACTCTTCCCTAACAAGTCATTTACTGTGAGAGCATTAATTAATCCCACATCATTTCACAATACCAAATCCAGAGTGGCCTGCTTTCTGGTTGGTTTCCCAACATATTGCTCCAAGAAGCAATCTCTAATACATTCAATGAACTCTACTTCGAGTTGCCAGCCGCTCCTCACGTGACAAGCCTTTTATCCCAGGATCATTCTTGTAAACCTCCTCTGGATCCCCTCTGATGCCAGCATATTCTTCCTTAGATATGGGGCCTAAAGCTGGAAATGGCAGAGACACTGAATCAATATTTTGTCTCCAGCTTCACAGTGAAGGATGCTAGTACCATCCCAATAGTAACAGGTAATGCAGAGGTGATCAAAAGGGAGGAAACTTAGAACAATCATCATCACTAGATGTTGTCTGACCAGAGCTTATACAGCCTCAGCAGTACATCCCTTGCTTTTGTATTCTAGCCCTGTTGAAAGGAATGTCAACATTACATTTGCCTTCTTAACCTGCAGGTTCAATTGGTGGTTAACAGTAAGAGAATCCTGAACTAGGACTCCCAAGTCCCTTTGCACTTCAGATTTCTGAAGCCTTTCCCTGTTTAGAAAATAGTCTGCACATCTATTCCTCCTACCAAAATGTATAACTTCACATTTGCCATGTTGTATTCCATCTACCACTTCTTTGCTCACTCTCCTGGCCTGTCCAAATCCTTCTGCAGCCTCCCTGCTGCCTCAACACTACCTAACCCCCCTCCTATCTTTGTTGCGTTTGCAAACTTGGCAACAATGCCCTCAGTTCTTTCATCTAGATAGTTAATTTATAATGTGAATAGTTGAAGTATATAAGATACTAAAGGGTTTGACAAAGTAAACGTAGAAAGGGTGTTTCCTCTTGTGGGGCAATTTAGAACGAGGGATCATAATTTTAGGATAAGGAGTAGCAGATTTAAAACAGATGAGGAGAAATTACTTCTTTCAGAGGATCATGAATCTATGGTGTTCACTACCCCAGAGTGTGGCGAATGCTGGGACATTTAATGAGGATATAGACAGATTTTTAAGTAGAAATTGGTTGAAGCATTATGGAGAGTGGGCAGGAAAGTGGAGTTGAGGCTGAGAGAAGATCTTGATCATTATCTTATTGAATGGTGGAGCAGGCTGGAGGGGCTGAACTGCTTAATCCTGCTTTTAGTTCTTATGTTCTTATTTCTAGCGAATAACCTGTTTGTTTATATGTGCTGTAAAATCAATTTAGATCTACGTTTAGATATTCTAACGTTGTGCAATACCTAGTAAAGTACTCCTGACCTTGGACAGGGAGACGATCAAAGCAGTTAAGATTTTTTTAAAGAGTAATTGAAAATTGCTTTGATATAAAGTTCAGATTCAAGCTTGACAAATAAACTCAAATATTGTTGCAACTTCAACAAAACCATGTTTGAAACTTGCAGCAAGGAAAAAGAAACAAACATTTTCTATAAGCAATAATTTCTCTGCTGCACACAAGAACAAACAAGTGATGTAATCATTCATTCTTCTTTGCAGTGAAAAGCTACATTTGATTAAATCTGATGATCTGCATGAGAAATTTTTTTATGAAGTTATTCAGTTGTTTTCAAATCATGTGGGAAAGGCAGACTCTGGATGTCCTGTTACATCGCGAGGAATTATTTTGTTTCAAGATGTTTCCAGCATAAGTATGGCTGTATGAACTGTGATATCTGAGAGTTGCAGGCTTAGATATGAGAGAGACCCTCCTCCCTTTTAATCGTGCTGGCACTAAAAAGTATCAACTGCAAAACCCAGGCTACTGAGAAAGCCTGAGGCCTTGAAATAAAAACTTAATGTCAGTGAAATGCCTTCAAACATCATTGTCAATCATGTTTTAAGCAAAATTTACTTTTTGAATGGTTACAGGATGGGTGTTGGGGGCACCGCCCAAGTGTTCTGCACTAAAGAAAATTAAAAGGAGATATAATGAAGGTGTTCAAGATTATTAGAAGATTTGAAAGGGTAGGTAAAGAAAGGAACTGCTCCCCTTAATGGGGGAATCCCAAACAAAGGAGCATAATCTCAAAATTAGAGCTAAGCTTTTCACAGGAAGGACATCTTCTCCTAAAGAGTAGTGTAGATCTGGGATCGCTTCCCAAAAAGCTGCTGGAAATCAGATGAAAATTTCAAAACTGACTTTTGTTAGTTATAGAGACATAGAGTCAAACAGCATAGAAACAGACCCTTCGCTCCAACTCGTCTATGCCGACCAAGTTTCCTAAACTAAAGTCGTGCCACTTGCATGCGTTTGGCCCATATCCCTCTAAACCTTTCCAATCATGCACTTTTCCAAATGTCTTTTAAATGATGTAACTATACTTACACCTACCATTTCCTCTGGCAGTTCATTCCATGGACGAACCACCATCTGTGTGAAAATGTTGCCCCTCAGGACCCATTTAAGTCTTTCTCCTCTCACTTTAAACCTATGCCCCCTAGTTTTGAACTCCCAGCCTAGGGAGACGACCTCTGCTATTCACCTTATCTATGCCCCTCATGATTTTATAAACCTCAACTACTACACTCCTATGGAAAAACAGCCCCAGCCTATCTTTATAACTCAAACCCTCCAGACTTGGCAACATCATGGTGAATCTTTTCTGAACCCTCTCCAATTTAATAATGTCCTTTCCAGGGCGACCAGAACTGTACACAATACTTCAAAAGTGGCCTCACCAACATTGCATACAACCTCAACATGACTTCCCAACTGGAATACTCCGTGGTCTGAGCAATGAAAGCGAGCGTGCTAATTGCTTTCTTAATCACCCTGTGATGTAACTTTTGAAGAACTATGTACCTGAACCCCCTGGGTCTCTTTGTTCAACAACACCACTCAGGGTCCTACCATTAGCTGTATAAGCCCTGCCCTTGATTCTTTTACCAAAATGCAATACCTCGCATTTATCCAAATTAAAAGCCATCTTACCACTCCTCAGCCCGTTTGATCAAGATCCCTTTGTAATCTTAGATAACTTTCTTTATTGTCAACAATACCACCAATAACAAAAACAGAAATTACTGGAAAAGCTCAGCAGATCTGGCTGCATCTGTGGAGAGAAGTCAGAGTTAACATTTCGGGTTGAGTGACCCTTCCTCAGAGCACTATATATGGGATATGGATTCACTCTGAACAGAAGGAAAAGACAAACAAATGACCAATCTTTCTATTTTCCATAGAACTTCAACAAAACCATCAGATTGTTCCTTAAACACCCATCAAAATGAAGTAGAATAAGATTTTGACCAAGTCAGGATTTCATGCTGCAGGGTCATTTCTATGTAGCTTAGCAGCTGATGTGTATTAATTGGCCGCAAGCTGTGAATTGTGTTGTCTGTGTACACAAAGTGTTCCTTAGATTACACGCAAAGGGAGCATTTGCCCCATTGTGCTTTAGGCCTCTGCAATATTTCCACATCTATGACACAAAAACAAAGTTGCTGGAAAAGCTCAGCAGGTCTGGCTGCATTTGTGAAGAAACGTTTCGGGTCCGGTGACCCTTCCTTCCACATCTATATTCAACTTGTCTTTGAAAGATGTTGAATCTGCCTCCACGATACATCCTATTCATGAATTCCAGACCACAGCAAATCACTGATCATATTTTAAACAAATATTTATGTAACATTAAAATTCAATAAAGCTACAATGGAAGGGCTTGGGTACTCAAATTTAAACTAATATGGCAAGAAGAATAGGAAAATCATGAATGCAAAATTAGAAACTTCACAGGGCAATAAATCACATGCAGTTAAGCAATGTTAAGGCAAAGTTAAGCAAGAAAGGCAAATTGGTTAAGAGGCTAAGCAATTTATCATAATAAAAAACAAACTGAAGTTGTAAAGCATAGGGGTTAAAGGATCAAAGAATTTCAACCAAAACACACACTAATGCTGACAATACGTGAACCAAAATTGGAAATTAGGATTAGTGATTAAAATAGAAAATTATGGGAATCTCATAACGAAACTTGAAAACAGCTGAGTCGGAATAGCAATAAAGACACTATACATAAAATTTGAGGATAGAAAATGAGATATAGCACATAACAATATTGGAAACTAATATTAGCAGAACTTGCAAATTCACAGGAGCATAAAACAGGCCACCTGTGGATGCACTCCAACTGTAATTCTGTTTTAAGTATGAAGTGAGCAGGATTATTCTGCCCAATGTCCTGGCCAGTATTTGTCCTGAATCAGTATCACTATGACTGGCTATTGTCTTTTTGAAAGCTTGTAGTGTGTAAATTTGCTGTTGTGTTTCCAACATCAGTAACTGCACTTTAAAAATATTTCATTGTCTGTAAAGCACTTCCTGAAATTGAGATCGATGCCATATAAATGAAAGACATTTTCTTTTAGCCGTTATCTGATTGAAAAGTGAAACAGATTTGAGGGGGTGCATGACCTCTTTTCCTATTTATCGAAGAGTGGAATTGCTCTCTGTTCAAGAAAGCTAATTGTATCGATACTAATACAGCAAAATACAGCAGTTGCTGGAAATTTTAAGTAAAAACAGGGTGGAGTTCTGATGAAGTATTATCGAACTGAAATGTTAACTCTGTTTGTTTCTTTCTGCAGGTGCTGCATGACCTACTAGTGATTCCAAGTTTTCTGTTTTAATTTTAAATTGTAATGATGTTTGCTTTTATTTTTGAAAGGCGACTTCTCGGCTTCGTGAGAAAGGAGGTGATGGATGCCTGGCTGGTATTGAAGTACAGCAGCTGTTCTGTTCTCAAACCACCACGATTCCTGAGCATCAGCTGAAAGATTTAAATATGAAGATTGACAGTGCTTTGCAAGTGAGTAACTCCGTAAAACCAGAATTGTAACACTGAAGTATTGGTGTACGATAAACATGCACATCCTCCACCACCAGTGCACCATGACCACAATGTGCATAATCACAAAAGGCACTCAACAGTCTTCAAAATTCTTTTGACAACAATGTTGTGAATCATTTTGAATTGAAGGTGTTGTAGGATCTGACAGTATGAGCTGTGACTTGGAGCTGATCGTAGGTATGTGTAGCAGCATTCTCATATGATAATTTATTCAAAGTCCAAATTTGAGAGGATTTGATATTTAATGTATTTGCTTCATTCATCAGTGGAAGATTCAGATCTGAATTTTTTTTTAGTTGAGAAAAACAACTTTTTCCTAACTTCAACTCTGGCTAGGAGATTTGCCCATGTCTGCATAACATTGTCAAGTCTCTGAAAACTCATGTAGTCTATTTAAAAAAAAAAGATAATTAGATGTATGGAAGGCATGGATCAGGATACTTAATGTTGCTTTGAGCAAGCCATTTACAAAATAAGTAACTCTCCAAACAGTAGCATTTTACTGGCTGTTCTTTTTAAACAGGCTCCTGACACTGTTAAATCATTTTCATGCTTCATGTGTGATGTGGAAAATGGTATTACAGATTTTCTGGTTGCAAACTTGGATAGTGTCTGGATGGAATGTTCTCGGCTGTATAGCGCTAGGCGTGTTGCTGGGTGCAACTTGAGATGATGATTTCAAAGGCCTTCTGTATTGGTCTTTTATTTTAGATATAAGTATTTGTGAAACAGCTCCCACTGTTTATGCTGCTATATTTGGTTTCCTTATTGTCACTGGATCAAATGCTGTAAGCACTGAGGGTGTACCTACACCCCATGAACTGCACCAGTGCAAGAATGCAGCTTACTACCGTGATATCAAGGGTAATAAATGTTGGCAGTGCTGATGACACCCAAACGTATGAACAGGGAAGACTTATGTGACAGATGCACCAAGATAAACTTGTTGGGCTGTTTCTGTGCGGTATGTTACATTAATGTATCGTTCACATTAACTTTGCTGTTTCATTGAAGGTTTAGATCAATATATGCTAACTTTTCTGATTGTCTTTTTAGGCTTACAAAGTTGCTTTGGAAAGCTTGGGTCATTGTGAGTATGCGATGAAGGCTGGCTTCCACCTGAACCCTAAAGCGATTGAATCATCTTTACAGGCAAGTAAAAATTTTTGTAATCTAATGTGTGGTTTGTAACGTGTATATGCTGGGCACTGAATTGGTGTGAAGGCAGATCTTGGCTGGATAAAGAGCAGGTGCCCCCAAAAAAGAGTGAAAATGGAGGGTATAATGTCAGCCTGGCAGCACATACTTTACCTGCTCCTTTACTATGAAACTGCTGAATAGTTGGTACTTTCAATTAAAAGTCTGAGAATTGACATCTGGTGGTAAAGAATAAGCACTGCATGTGTTGAATTAGGTTTGTCAGCATTCTACAGTTTTTAGAGCTCATGACTAATAGAAACAGCTCATGATTTATTCTCAATAGTCGATGTTGAACAGAGACTTTGTCTGGATCTCTTAAAAATCTAAAAAGTGCAATTTCTGTAACAAATCAGAAAAAATGAAAGTTCCAATAACAATGACAGTTCGTTTTATAGAATTATAGCATCACACAGGATGGAAGGAAACCATTCAGCTCATCATTCCAGTGCTCAATATTTGAAAGTGTTGTCTGATCAGTCCTATTCCCCTGCTTCTCACTGCCCCAAACTTTCCACATATATAGCTGATTTGCTTTAAAAAGATGTTATTGATTCTGCTTCCATCATTCTTTCTGGCTATTTTGTTTTTCCTTTGTGTCACCTCTGTTTCTTTTCCTTTGCAAGTCTGTGCCCAGTGATTACTGGTCTTCTGCCACTGCAAACAGTTCCCTTTAATATGCTCCATCAAATCTTTCATGCATTTGAATCCCTTTGCCAGATCTTCCTTTAACCTTCTCTGTCACAAGCAGAACAATCCCAAATTCCACAATCTCTCCCACATACCTGAGTCCCCCATCCCAGGTAGCATCCTGGTATCTGGTCCCTTCAGCATAATAAAATGCCTCAAGGTGCCTCATGTGCATTATCAGTCAAAAATAAGTTGACATCTGTGAAGAGAACATTGAATTAGTCTCATCTGTTAAACTCCTACTATTCACATGTACCCCATTCCAGAATTCAGTCACCCACAATTTTCATTTTGCACATAGATCATACGATGGAAAAATGGCCATAAAAATGAAACAAAGATGTTGAAAGCCTTGAAATGGACCTTATGTGCAGACATTTTAATTGGTCATTCTGTATTTCTGGGCCTGTGATTTATGCTCTGCACATGAGCCCACAATGTTGTACAGTGTAGTTATCTGTGATGCACTAACTTCACCTTTTATGAAAAGATCACTGTCATGCGTTTTCTATTTTCTTTGTCAATGAGCACTATTTCTCCACTGGAAAATCTTCATAGGCTGTAAGCAAATTGTTTTAAATGAATTTTAGCTTACCGTGGGTGTTTTACGTACTAAAATTTTGTTTGGCTGCAACCTGTACCACAGACTGTCATACTGCTTGAGATTTTGTTATTTGTGATGTTCTCAGGAAATATGCCCCTACGATGGCAGAACATCACTGTATAGCTCTTTATTTAAACTGGCATAAACCCAACAGTTCATTAGACTATGCACAATGAAGAGATTTGTTTTTAAAAATAAATTATCCCTGACATTATGTTTGAAAACAGCATGTGGACAGCAATTTATAATCAACAATCATAATCTACAATTTGCAATTTAAATTACAACATTTACAATTTTAAAAGGAAAAAACTTTTCTGTACACATAAAGTCAAGCCATAGTTGCAGACAGCAGAAATTTGATACTAAAATATTCATGTGCACAAGGGATAAACTGTAACACCAGGAGCATCCAACCATGGGGAAAGCTGTTGCTGATACTAAAACGTGTCCAGAATTCTGATTTAGGGTTTATCCATCATTGATGCAACAGCACGAAGTCAGCCGTCTTTGAGCCTCCAAACCCACAAAATTCAAAGAAGGGGTCAAAAGTATGAAAAATTTCAGTGCATACAGAAAAGAGTTGCCTGAGCTGGGTTGGCAGAATCTTACTCAATTGGTACTCTGTCATGAACTGAGTAACCAGGAGACCAGGGCCCACTTCTGACAAACTTGTATTGAACCTTACTGAGTGACAATAGTATGACTTGTACTTTTTATTTAAATAAGGATGGAGGATGATGATCATCAACAGAGGAGCTGAATATTATTTAAATGGAGAAAGACTTCAGGAAGCTACAGCAACAAAGAGATTTAGGAGTCCACATGCATAAATCACAAAAAATTAGCATCCAATTCAGCAGTTAATGGGTATGGTAAATGAATGTCAGCCTTTATTTTAAAAGGAATGGATGATAAAAATATGGAACTCTTGCTAGAACTATGCAAGTTAGACCACATTTGGAATACTTTGAATAGGCTTGTTCCCCTTATCTAAGGAAAAAAATAATGGCATTGGAAGCAGTCGAGAGAAGTTTCACTAGGTTGATCATGGGGGTGGAGAGATTTTTTTTTTAAAGTTTATTCATGGGCTGGAGCATCACTAACTGGGCCAGCATTTATTGCCCATCACATAGTTGCCCTTGCGAAGGTAGTAGTGAGCCACAACCAGTCTTGAACCATTACATTCCATGTCCTGCGGTGATACCCACAATGCCCTTAGGGAGGGAATTCCAGGATTTGACACAGTAACAATGAAGAAATGGTAATATATTTCCAAGTCAGGATGGTGAGTGGCTTGGAGGGGAACTTGCAGATGGTGGTGTTTCCAAGTGTTCTCATGCTGTCCTTGTCCTTCTAGATGGAAGTGGTTGTGGGGATTGTGGGTGCTGTCTAAGGAGTCTTGGTGATTGTCTTATGAGAAGACGTTGCATAGTTTATGCCTGTATTAATTGGAATTGAGAGGAGTGAGTAGTGACCTTGCAAACCAAAAGGCATAATCTCAGAATTATCTCTGATTATGACAGAGGTGAAAAGGAATTTGTTCTGTCAGACAGTAGTGAATCTATAGAATTCTTTACTACAGAGGGCTGTCAAGTTTGGGGTTGTTAAGTATATTCAAGGCTGAGGCAAAATTTTAATCTTAGGGGAATCATAAATATGGGGAAAAGTCAGGAAAGTGGAGTTGAGAATTCAGATCAACCGTGATTTCATTGAATGGTGGAGCAGACACACTGAGCCAAATGGCCGCCTTCTGCTTTTAAGTTTAATGGTCTTATCCAACAAAATCAGACTTTCTTCAGTTTAATGATTGGCCAATGAATTTGCAATAAGGTGAGGTTTTTGGTAGGGTGTTGGGATACCTTTATGATATATCTGGTACTGAATATATCTACTTTGTTAATCTTTTACACCATGCCTATTTCATGTGATCTTTTCGCAGGGCTGCTGCAGTGAGGCTGAGGTGAAGCAAGCAGGAAGGAAACAGTATCCTGCTCAACCACTTCAGTGTGAGCTTCCCACTGTACCTGTACAAATTGGACCCCATTTTCTGAAGGGCATCTCCTTCAGCGAGTCTGGAGCAGAGAATCTGAAGCTTAAAATGGTAGTTACAAATATATTCTGTAAAGGACTTAGAATTTTTTCTTAATGATAAAACTTACAATATAAAAGCTTTCATAAATTAGAGAATAGCAATGGTACTTGTGATTTGCAGTGATTGTCAGGAGTGCAATTTTTTGATTGTTAAACAATTATTGTATCTTGATTTGATTTCCTTGTACAGTGAATGATATCTAGAATTTTATAGTACAGAAGGAGGTCGTTCGACTGATCGTGTCTGCGCTGGCTCCCAAAAGAGCTATGCAACTAGTCCTATTCTCCAGTCCCAACTCCATAGCCCTCAAAATTAATCACTTTCAAATATATATCCAACTCTCTTTTGAAACCTCGTATGGAATCTGCCTCATCCACTTTCCCAGACAGTGCACTCCAAATCCTAACAACTCTCTGAGTAAAGAAGTTTCTCCTCCTCTCACTCAGAGATAGTAAGAACTGCGGATGCTGGAGTCAGACATCACAGTGTCGAGCTGGAGGAACACAGCAGGCCAGGCAGCGTCAGAGGAACAGGAAAGTTGAAGTTTTGAGTCAGGATCCTTCATCAGAAGTGGGGAGGGAGAGGGAGCTCAGAAATAAATAGAGAGAGGAGGGGTGGGACTGGGGAAGGTAGGTGGGGTGATGATAGGTGAGTGCAGGTAGGCAGTGGTGGGGATTGGTCAGTGAGGTGGGAGGGGCGGATAGGTGGGAGAGAAGATGGACAGGTTGTGCCAGGTCAAGGAGGCGGGAATGAGAGGGAGGGTTGGTCATGGGATGAGGCCAGGGGTGGGGAGATTTTGAAACTGGTAAAGTCCACATTTAGCCCATGGCCTGCTGTATTCCTCCAGCTTCACACTCTGTTCCTCCAGCTTCACACTGTGTTACCTCCTCATCTCACTGCTAGCTCTCTTGCTAACAGTCTTGAAATTGTGACCCTTAGCTACTGATATGCCAACTAGTGGAAACAGAATATCCTTTACCCAGTCAAGATTATTCATAATTTTGAACACCTCAGTGAGGTCACCTCTTAATCTTCTGTACTTAAAGGAGAATGAGCCTAATTTCTCTAATCATTCCTTGTGTCTAAAATTATTCATTCTTGGTCTCATTCTAGTAAATCTCCTTTGAACCATCTCCAGGGCTTTAACATCCTTCCTTGAATAAGATGCCCAGAACTGATCGCAATCTCCCAAATATGGTCTGACCAATGATTTGTAGAGGTTGTAGCATCACATCCTTGCTTTTAAACTCTGTGCCTCTATTTATAAACCCAAGGATCCTATAAGCCTTCTTAGCTACTGTTTCAACTTGCTTGGCTACCTTCAGGGAATCATGTACGTGAACCCTGAGATCCCTCTGCTCATGTACCCCCCTCAGAATTGTGCCATTGGGCCTGTATTGTTTCTCTGTATCTCTTTGACCAAAATGTATTACCTCACATTTCTAACATTTGAGGTTTTATGTGAATGTGGAAGAAGACTACAAGATTAATGCAGGGTTTTATGTACATGTTTCCAAAAGCTGCTTTATTCTGATTGTGAGGTGTTGTTTTTGTTAAGATTTGTGAATGGAAACCACCTGAATTAATTTGTATAGCACCAGTAATAAAAGCTTCATGGTTATCACAAAAGAGCAAAAGAAGCGACATAAGGAGCAGTAACTGCAAGCTTAGTCCTAAAACTAGGTTTCTGGCTCTTGGAAGAGACAGGGGAAATTCCAGAGCAGGAGGTTTAGGTGGTTGAAGGCATGGCTGCCATTGACAGGATGCTGGCATGTACAATGAGAGATGGTAGTATTAGTGAAGCTGCACAAGAGAGGTGAGTACTAGGAGCAGAGTTTCAGAAGGTGAGTCAAAAGACTGGAAATGGTCATTGAACTGGGTGGAGGGGAAGCCATGGAGAGATTTAAAAGCAAGGTATAAGAATTTTTGAATCAAGATGTTGGTTGGTTGGTATCCATTGTAGGTCAGTGAGCTTCGAGTTGAACTGGGCTCGTTATATACAGAATACAATCAGCAGAGTTTAGAGTGCAACGGTGGCTGCAAATATACATACAAAAGTACAAATTTGCAGGAGAAGTAAACCACTTAGCCCCTTGAGTCTGCTCTGTCATTCAATAGAATAGTGTTTGATTTGATTATTCCGTATCCTGCCTTCCCCAATAACCTTTCATCTCCTTGCATATCAAGAATCTGTTGACTTCTACTTCAAACAAATTCAAAGACTCTTGACCATCTGAGAGGAAAAGAATCCTCATCTCTGTCTTAAATGAACAACGCCTTATTTTCAAATAGTGACCCCTCTAATTCTAATCTAGGAGATGCTATTTAGGAGAGTAGTGATTGGCATAGATACAGTTTACAGTGTCAGATAGACTGAAGTAGAGTTGGAGGTGTCTTATATTATGGAGCTAGAGGTAGGTCATCTTTGTGACAGGTTATCGTAGAATCCCTACAGTGTGGAAACAGGCCCTTCGGCCCAACAAGTCCACACCGATCCTCAGAGCATTCCACCCAGACCCATCCCCCTATAACCCACCCACATCCCTCAACACTACAGGCAATTTTCCATGGCCAATCCACCTAGCCTGCATATGTTTGGACTGTGGGAGGAAACCGGAGCTCCCAGAGGAAACCCACGCAGACACAGGGAGAATGTGCAAACTCCACACACAGTCACCCAAGGGTGGAATCAAACCTGGGTCCCTGGCGCTGTGAGGCAGCAGTGCTAACCACTGAGCCGCCGTGCCGAGACAGAAGTATAATTTGAGGTCAGACGAGGCCTTGAAGTTAGTAACTGGTTGCTTAAAAAGGATATGCTGTCTCTTTTCTGTTGCAAGAACGTAAACATGATATGTATCTGGTTTAAAAATTCTGAAAAATTGTAAACCCTTAAGGTATGTAATTTCTCAAACAGCATGCATGTGCTCAAGATTTTGTCTGGAAAGCACACACTATCAGTTCCTGCCATTTCAATCCCAGTGCACGTCTTGTAAATGTGTTTTGAAATGGTTTTATTTCCATTATTAGCTAAAGATACTGATTACACGATTGGAGTCACATGTCTGATTTTTCTCACTGACCTCTGAATGTTCCAATTCAGTTTGGATCTAGGTTCAGCTCTCTGTTACAATTACCACCATGAACATTTTCCCACATCACAAACACAGTTTTGTTGGACCTAGTGGTGTTGCTCTACTCCTGTGTATTTTAGGTGACAATGGCAATTTAACATCCTTAAAGGGTGTTCAGAGACCATGGTCATTATTCGCATGCAGGTTTAAAAAAGAAGAGACTTATGCAGAGCAAAACCATAGAGTAAAGATTGGAAACAGAAAATATTTGAGACACTCAAATCTGGCATCAAATAAGGAGAGAGAAACAGAGTTGCTCTTTAAGATTGATGATCTTTTGTTTCAACATTGTAATGAAGGGATTAACTCAGTTTCTGTTCTTGCTGAGATTTCCTGCAATTTGTTTATATTTTGGCCTTCCAGTATCTGCAGCATTTGTAGCAATGGAGTTATCAGCGCTGCTACAGGTTACTGTCAGGACTTTCTGAGAAGTTGCAGGTCAGTTATGTTTCAAATCAGAAGAACTTCTTTCAGTTTCTATCCAAGAATAATATTTTGGACGCAATGTGCAAGTGATTTGAGGCATGTGTGGTGCTTTTAGCATGCTTGAGAGGCCCACGCTTCCCAAAGCGCTCCAGCACACTGGGGTTTTCTTGTTTTCTGTCTGTATATATTGCGAACTCACAGTTGGAGATTGATCAGTGATTAGCCAACAACTGCATTAATGTTGTATCATGCATCTGCTAGGCTGGTAGAGGGTGAGATAGATTGACCATAGTCTTATTTCCAGTAATGATTTCTATGTTTATATGGAACATGACAGTCCAATAGAAGATAGAGGGTGGTAGTAGAGGGAAAGGATTCAGCCTGGAGCTCGGTGACCAGTGGTGTTCCGCAGGGATCTGTTCTAGGACCTCTGCCCTTTGTGATCTTTATAAATGACTTAGATGAGGAAGTAGAAGGGTGGGTTAGTAAGTTTGCCAATGACACAAAGGTTGGTGGAGTTATGGACAGTGTGCAGGGCTGTTGTAGGTTGCAACGGGACATTGACAGGATGCAGAGCTGGACAAGTAAGTGGCAGATGGAATTCAACCCAGAAAAGTGTGAAGTGATTCATTTTGGAAGGTCGAATTTGAATGCAGAATACAGGGTTAATGGCAGGATTCTTGGCAGTCTGGAGGAACAGATGGATCTTGGAGTCCATGTCCTCAAAGTTGCTACCAAGTTGGTAGGGTTGTTAAGAAGGCGTCTGGTGTGTTGGCTTTCATTAGCAAGGGAATTGAGTCTAAGAGCCGTGAGGTTATGCTGCAGCTCTATAAAACTCTGGTTAGACCATACTTGGAATATTGTGTTCAGTTCTGGTCACCTCATTATAGGAAAGATGTGGAAGCTTTAGAGAGGGTGCAGAGGAGATTTACCAGGATGCTGCCTGGACTGGAGCGCAGGTGTTATGAGGAAAGGTTGAGAGAGCTAGGGCTTTTCTCATTGGAGCGAAGAAGGATGAGAGGTGACTTGATAGAGGTTTACAAGATGATGAGAGGCATAGATAGAGTGGATAGCCAGAGACTTTCCCAGGGCGGAAATGACTATTATGAGGGGGCATAATTTTAAGATGATTGGAGGAAGGTATAGGGCAGATGTCAGAGGTAGGTTCTTTACGCAGAGAGTGGTGGGCATGTGGAATGCGCTGCAGGCAGAGGTAGTAGGGTCAGATACTTTAGAGACTTTTAAGCGACTCTTGGATAGGCACATGGAGGATAATAAAATGTAGGGTATGCAAGGTAGATTGATCTTAGTAGGACAATAGGTCAGCACCATTTTCTGAATGAAAAAAATCCCTCCTCATCATAGTATTAAAGGCTGCCCCTTGTTGTGAGATGTCCCCAGGTTCTCGAGCCATCAGCCGGTAGTATGCCCTATTTATATTTACCCTGTCAC